TAGAAACATTAAACTGAAGCCAAGAGTAACGAGTAACGTTTGTTTTAAAAATGTACGGAACAGAAAGTACAAATACTTGTGTGAAAATGTAATGAGTAGAAGTCAGAAGTAGGAAGAAAATAACTAATGGAGTAAAGTATAGATACCTAAAAAGTGTACTTAAGTACAGTAACAAAGTATTTGTACTTTGTTACTTAACACCTCTGGGAGTTTTGACCACCAGGTAGCTAACGATTAACGTTGCACATGTTCTGGACTGATTGATTTGAATTATAATTGAATATTAGAATCTGTGATGTAGGCATAGTGGTTTGTTATCCAGACAGTTTATTGGTTGAAACACGAACTTCTGCAGGAGCGGACAGAGGACGTCCCAGAAAAATGGACTTCAGATAAGATCCACCAGAAGCATTCAAACCTTCTGATGGAACCAGAAAGGACAGGTATTTATCCCGCTTCTTCAGCATGCGCTCCTTTTTCCTCTTCAGCTTTTCCTCGTCTCTGTTCAACTGCTGGATCACCTCCTGGGCCTGCAGCAGAAAACACGCTGTGATCGTCTTCTGAACTATGAACGCTAAGTCGCTCTGAAGACTGGTTCCCCACCTTTTTCAGAATGGACGCTTTAGACATTCTGTAACTGCTTGGATGCACCTGCTTCCTTAAATTAAGGAACATTTGCCGTATCTGGGCTCGAGAGAGTCTCTCTCTCAGGTTGTGAAGCTGGAGATCCAAAAAAACAACCAAGCGTTAGCTTCAACCATCTTCCAACCTAGATAGGAAGTGTTGAATCTGCACCAGGTACCCCTTTGTCATGAGTAGTTCTAAGAAAACGGGTCTGAGGTTTTGTGGAGTTGACCACGGGGCTTCCATCTTCCAGCTCCAAGTCCTCTCTGGAAAGCAGAACATCCAGGTTCACCAATGTTGATGAATCATGAATCAAGTAGAGGCAGCAGGGATCAGCCTGGTTGGTCCACAGTGACCATGAGGGAACTTCTCACCTTGAACTGCTGCTCTTCCTCTCCTGGTCCTTCTGAGGACTTTTTCTCTGCTGGCCAACATCTGGGAGCTCAAACGCTGCAGCAGCGTCCTGCCAGAACCAGAGAGCATTGAGATGAAACTGCTGCAGCTACAATCCAGTTTGAATGAAGACATCCGGCAGTGGCTTACATCAACAGCAGTTATCCTGCTTAAACCGTCCTCAGATGAGACGTAGATCCCATCCTTTCCCTCCTTCCTTGCAGTGGCAGCCTGGTCCGCTATCAGAACAGAACAGGTCAGAGATCAGGGATCAGTGAGGAGGGTGTGGAGCTGCTCCCATCTCCGGCCAGGTGTGCGTTTGGATGACCAGGGGTGAACAGCGACGGTTCTGATGACGGACTTTATGTTCACGTTACTCCAACAGAAGCATGGACACGTTTCTGTCTGTCGTCCGGATTCACATTGGCACTGTATGTGCGGTAGGTCGTGTACATGACGAAGCCAGCTACTTATTTGATTAACCATTGGTCAGCTGCGCTAGCAACAGCTGAAGGCAAGCTTTCATCAGAGTTAGTTCTCAAGATTTCTAACGTCTCTTAGCGCTGATAGCCTGGTGCTAAAACTGGATAGCAAATACGAAGAGTACGGAACAAATTTAGGTAATCTTATCAGCTGGGCGTCCACTGTACAATGTTTTCAATCATTGCTCTCATCTACAGCTCAAACTGTACGATGAAATCGCAGGGTTTAAAAGTTCACTATATTTGTTCTTTCACTTATGCGATCTACCTGCTCACACTGTACATCCAGAAGCCACATCAGACTCAGTGCCGAGAGATGGTGCTGGTCGGACTTGTGAATCTGGAAGGAAGAAGAAGAACTCCCTTGTTTGCACATGCACAGTGCTTGAGGTTCTGGTAAATCGGCTCATAGCTCTGCTTCAACATCAGGATTTGCTCATGAGCACCTCATGACGGGAGACTGAATTTGAAACATGTTTGATGTTCTACCGACCTTATGATTCCTGATAGGGAGGCTGATCTCCCCTCGTTAGCCTGCACACTAAAACACGCAGGACGCACCATGAGGCTGAAACTCGGCTCGATCCCAAACATTCTGGCACGACTAGATAATAAGCCCGAAGTGGACAAAAACTCAAAAACAGTAAATGCCTGGCTTTAGCAGCTGCCCTCCAGTGAGGTGAGGGTTGCACAGCACTGTGGAGGAAGTCTGATCTACTCATCTTTACTGAGCAGGTGGAGGTCAGCCCCACTGGATGGTGTTCAGGGTTAAACAACCATTTTAAGGGCGTGCCACAGCATCAACGGGATTCAGCTCAGGACTTTAACTGGGCCGCTCCAAGCCCTTTAACAGTGAATTTGCTGGTTAGTTTAGGATTATTGTCCTGCTGCAGAAACCTAGGGTTACTGAAATAACCCTGGTGGTTTGATAATAGAAGGAGCTGTAGCACTATGGGTGAGACCGGCTATGGGTGAGACCGGCTATGGGTGAGAATGGCTATGGGTGAGAACGCCTATGGGTGAGAACGCCTATGGGTGTGAAAGGCTATGGGTGAGAACGCCTATGCGTGAGAACGCCTACGGGTGAGACCGGCTATGGGTGAGACCGGCTATGGGTGAGAACGCCTATGGGTGAGAACGCCTATGGGTGTGAAAGGCTATGGGTGAGAACGCCTATGCGTGAGAACGCCTACGGGTGAGACCGGCTATGGGTGAGAACGCCTACGGGTGAGAACGCCTACGGGTGAGAACGCCTACGGGTGAGAA